ATGACCTGCTCACCAAGTTTGCACATCTTCTACCTTGTTTACACAAAACTACGCATTCTCTACGCAAATGGACAGCGTCGGTGTTCTGGGCTTGGCGTTCTTGCGTGGTCAGCGATTGATACCTTTGTATGTTTGCTCATCCATCGCTTTGAATTTCGGAAGCTGTACTGTAACGATGTATATGTTACGGAGTTGTTTGGCATATTTTGGCAGGCTAGATTTTGGTCTCTGTGTTGTTATCACCTATCGAGTCAAATACCAAATCATCACATCTGCAATCACTGTCACTTCCGTGTCTGGTCATTCTTTCCATGTTCTGGCAGTTGTCAAAAACTCCTACCCACTGATGTGCCCTAGGCTTCATCGCCACACCACCATGGTCCGGTGCCTCGGGCTTGGTAACACGCGGAGACGCATCAATCCGAAACACACGTCCTTTGTCATCGCCCAACTCCAGCACCATGGGGCGACCACTTCTGCAACCATGAGGAGATGCTCTGGAAACCTCGCCACACTCTCAAGGCGGCCGCTTCTGTAACCATTAGGAGAATACTCCGCCACCCACCACCCACCGTTCTACCTGCTCAATACATTGACACGGACTAACCCACTCAACTACACAAAGCTTACGACAGACACTGTTCAGACCGCGATCATGTCTTTTTTCTCAACGTTTGAAAAAATTTCAATGTTCCAGACGCGCACTGTAAGCATAAGCATGCATACCGCATGCAGGTTCGGCGGGCCAGCTGATGACGCGAACATAAGCAAATGACAATCGCTGTAACATGGGGCGGTCTAGCATTCTCAGGTGAGGAATGATAATGAGATGTGTCTCGCTGGAGAGATGATACATTCATATCATCTTCAAATTAAATATGCTAAGAAAATTCGTTGTTGCTCCTCTAGCATATTGCATGCTGTCTGCTCTGCCATCTGCCATCTCTTTTTGGTAGTGATCGAACACATGTAACAGTCGTACTCAATTCCTGACTTTGAAAAAATATCTACAGCTTGATAGCAAACTGCTTGAGGTACTCGTAATGCTCAACATTAGCAGCAACGGTGTCCCGGATTTGCTTCGCGCCCTCTTCACCGTACTTCTCCTTCCACTCAGCGAAAAGCTGCTCGTCTGACTTAGGTTCCTTCTTCTGGCAAGGTCGTCAATCCACAACTCTGCCCACATAATTAGGATATTCACTTACATGTGTCCGCGCCCTCAAGCGATCACTGTCCAAAGCATCCTCATGGAAACCCTTCCATTTCTCAAACGCCTCCTTGGCAATACCTTGGTCCTTCTCTGTGTCCCATACGAGCATGTCTGGGTCCCATTCGATTCCCGTGGTTTTGCAGAATGCTTCAACCATGCCAGATGGATTGTCCAGCAAATCGTCTGCATCGATGACACAGATCTCAACACCGCCAGTGTGGCCGTTTGTCTGCTCATTAGAGTCGTGCTGCTTCTGACCCGCGAACTTGGGACCGATCTGGCCCTCAGAACGCAGGTAGTCGAACAGGCGACGGAGCTCTTCGTAGCCAGCTTCGTCAGGACGGAAGTTGTAAAAGCCCGTCATCTTGTCTAGCGGAGGGATGGTGCAGCGGTAGTACGATGGGATAGAGAATTTGGGGTGACGGATCAGAAATGTGAAGTGGTAGGTTGCCAACAGATCCGTAGGAATAACCGTGGGGTTGTTGGGTTCGCCTTGGGTGTCGTATGGGTAAGGAGGTCCGGGACGTTCATTACGAGTAGTGACAGGCGAAAGCTGTGTGGTGTCTGTTCCTACGCCGCGACGATAGTTGGATAGAGACGGGGCGATGGTAGCGGGCTTGCCTGCGGGAGGAATCCAGTATTGGGCCATGTCGTTGATGAAAGCGCGCTTGCCCTGTTAAAGGTGAGTATACTATTTTTCGTAAGGCTACATTATGCGCCATTGAAATCTTCATCGTACGGGATGTCATAATGCGAGAGTCAAGATGGTAGGGAGCTGGGCAGATCGTAATGGCTCGGCGACAATTCGGGGAAATGGGGGACGGCGGTTTTTGAGTTGTCCGCTTGTAGAGACCAAGGACTTTGGTGAATTTGTTGCGCTCCAGTCGAAGCGCTTACATATCGCGCAAGTTGAGTTTAAGAAAGTATGAGATGGTCGTGATTAAGGTGGGGTAGACAGAGATCTAGCTGTCGGGTGGTTGGCTGGGAGCACACAACACGCAATTGCGACGAAGTTGACGAGATTGCGAAAATAAGATCTTGATTGGGTGTGAAAAGATGACAGACTGAGGGGAAACAGCAGGAAAACGGTAATACTGCAGAAACATGGAAAGTATTAGTGAACGAACCTCCGAGTTTTCTCTCGCGATGCGATCAAAAATGGTCTTGTATGTGCTCTCCTCATAGCCAGACTCTTTCCTGGCTTTCGCGTCATTCTCATAACGCTCGGCGAGGCGCTCGGGGCCGAAGTAGTAGGCGTCGCCGAAAGGCTCGTGAACACACTGGAGCGTGTCGTAGCGGGTCATGAAGACCTAGATGATGGTAAGAACCCGAACTTGGGTGAGACACGGCGGAACCAAGCATACCCGCTCAAAGGCCGTCGAGCAGGCCCTCGGATGAGTAGCCACAAAGATGGGCTTGCTCGTCATAATCGCGGCTTGTCGACTCTGGTAGGATCTATTTTCCAAGTATCCTGGGAGGGAGTGACTGATGTTTTCAGTCGGTAGAGTTGGCGAAGAAGTCCAGATATATTTCAAGCTGAACAGCGAGCACCTACCGCGAAAAGTAAATGGGGCACTAGCAGACTCTTATACCTGAGCCCCGAACAGAATCTGCCGCCGATCAATCATTGTGAGATGGAATCCACAATTGCTGTTCGTTGAGCAGCAATCCCTACCGGCAACACGGGTTAACAGGTACTAGTGGACCTGACTATGCAGTGTTGGCAACTTCAATCAGAGGGTCGGGTAGAAATGCCATGCGGCCGGCAACCACAGCCGCAACCATAGCGTGAGGGAGATGCAGGCAATGCGATTGCCCTGATTCGATGCAGGGCTGGGAGCTGGCCGAGATGTGTTCGTGAGGTGTTTTCATCGAGCACGTATGATGTCACTAGCGGGACTTGTGGACGGAGCGTGTCTTCCAAGGTTGGTGGGGTGCGCTGTGCCCCTCACTAGCAAGCCCGAGGTGCCGACGGACCGTCGTCAACTCCTTCCCCTTTTCAGTGCCGTTTGCGCCTCACGCGCCATGTTGTTGGATGGTATTTTTACGCAGCCTTGGGTCTATTTTCCTGACGGCTCTGGGCCATAGATATTAATGCAGCTAAAAGCACGACATACAGTGGCTGCATTCCGCAATTTCGTAGTGCCTGCGACGAACAAAACTCATTCGACAGCCCCTAGGAAATCGAACCACGCGCTGATGTACCTGGGTTGTTTTTTGTACATCGCGATACAGCTGAAAGCTGTTGTACGACTCGACCTGCACCTTCCTGGCCCTTCAGCGGAAGAAGGGATAGTGCGATTGTTGGATTAACGCCTTTCCAGCAGTTCCGTGCTCAGATACGGCGTTCTTGCCAAAATCAGTACCTGCTTGCAGCACCTTTCTGGGATTTCTCCATCGGCATCCCAGTGACGGACTAGAAAGAGTTAGGAACTTGGGTGCAGGAAAGTCACTCAGCGCCGGCATAGTCAACATCAAGACGTAAGAAAGGCCACTGTTATAGTGTTCGTACATGGAACTACGACCTTCATCCGCACATTTCCGACAAGCTCTCGTCGCGCACAAGTATGCGTGCGATGCCTATGGTTTCGACAATATGTCGTACATGTACTATCTTCAACATTGGTCGATGTGAGAAATATGAAAACCATGAACGAAGAGGTTACAGCGAACCAATGTCGTGATAGATCAGACGCGGATCTGGAAAGTACCTGCAAGGCTGCTCACGAACCTTTTAGCTGCTCGGCCAACGGATTAGTTCTAGTTAGACAGATTCACAGCCACCAAAACTGTATCAGGATCACATGCTCAAAGTTATTGTATTTCCCGATCTTCCAAACGAGGACAGGGACCATACATGGCCTTGCTTTCGATTTCAGAACCGCGCTCTCGAATGAGTACCACTATAAAGTCTCGCCCAGTCTGTCATTATTTCCACGCAGTTCCACGTCGCTCACATTCTCACCTCTATCGCTATGAATATCCTGTAATCTCGTGTCTTTGCAGATGATAGGCAGAACTACCTGGATATCGGGTATACTGCGACTGCTGCATCACGCAAATATGTGAGAACGTCATTCATCGCTTCACTATATGTCTCAGGCTTTTTCAGCTATGCTCAGTCTTTCCGTGGAGGTACGTCCTGCCTCGTCTCTGCATCCTGCTCAAAGCGGCGAACCTTCTTAGAAAATGATCCCAGACTTGAGAGACTGCTCCTGTTTCTCTAGTATATAACGACACGGAAAGTTCTGCACCTTCAGCCTTACCAGATGCTTGCAGAAATTGCATCCCGATCCGACGTCTCGAAACTCTCACATCTCTTTTCAAGTGAATGCGAAAAGCTTTTGAACACTTCTGTTGGCTCAAGGCACGCCTGATTTGCTAGGCAGCGCCCTGTCAGCAGATCGAGCACGAGCTTTATTCATACCTGGTCTGAGCTTCTACAGGAGCTTCGTACGCTTGTCTGTACATAAGGACCTCTTCTCTAGTAACAACTGCCCAAATTATCGCGACTCTTCTCAACTTCCAGTCACAGTAGACTTGCACTCCCTTGTCCTTTAACACCAGAAATACCATTGTGCACCTTACGAACGACCTGGAGATTTCACTCATTTTTACTTCTATAGGCTAAAGGTTTGTCTCATCGCCAAGCATGTGTTCCGAAACAACTGACAACTCGTTTCAGATACGTACTTCTACAGTTTTGTCGAACGGAAATTCCGATCTCAACTCTACCTTCCGTGAAAAGGCTACTTAAGAACTTCATTTAGTTGTCCACGTAGCAAACAAGATGTCTGCTTCAACGGCCACTACAACCGGTTCCAACACGCCCGCCAACAAAGTCAACGCTTCTGCTACGCTTAGCGAAGACGAATCCTTCCACAAGAGAGCGGCCGAGGCAGAGGCGAAGCATGTTGCGAATGTCGCAACTCAAAATAGAAAGCTTGAAATGGTTGAGAAGAAGCTCAATGAGAAGCTTTCATCCAATGGCAAGGCACTAGTTCTCAAGGACAAGCCTACTAGACCTACACATCGACCCACGAGGAAAAATCGCAAGCCGCTTTCCCCACCTAGCAATAAGGAGCACGACACCCGAACAGCTGCAGTGGATATCAAAGCTACTATCAAGGAGAAAAGGCAGCTCGCCATTTTATTAACTTCTCGTCCGAGTCTTAACTACGACAGGATTATCGAGCAACACGTGGTCAACGGCGTCGTTGAGCGCATTACCCAGCCTGACAACTCCCAACACACATCTGTGGTGAACAAGACACTTCCTACCTACAGCTACGTAGATATTGTCGAGCAGCGCGTAGTCAACAACGTCTCTGAGCGTATCCCTGGGTCTGCCGATACGCCTCAAGCTGCCGCCTCTAATATCGACACTGACTCAGATTCGGCTGCTGAGTCTGACAACGATACAGAAGAACACGTTCCCAAACTGGTACAAGAGGCTTCTACCGCCCATCAAAGTACGGATTCACTTTTGGAAAGATCTAGCTCTGTCAAGGCTGCCAGCGCCACCGCATCATCCCACGTCTATGACGATGTCTCGATGATCGATGTCGACAATGAGGCGCTGCTTCTCAGCTTTGCGAATGAGGCAGCACTGGCCGCTGCTCCAGTCGAGCTTCCCGTGACTGCATTCAAGGATCAAAAGCCTAACAAGGCCAAGGAGAAGGATGCAAAGGCTTCTGACCTTCTAAAAGAGGTGGCTATGGTCGATTTAGAAGTACCTCAGAAGCAGCTCAAGCTCGACACCGCAAGGACCGCTACTGGGAATGCCGACCCCACCACTCTAGCGGACGATGGATATGTGACGGCGCTTCTGAAAATGCCAAATGGCCCTGGCGTAACTAGAAAATCTCGTAACTTTCATGAGAAGCAAGTTGCGATGCACATCACCCCTTTCGCATTGCCAGTCACTGCGCCAAAGCAAGATAAGACCTTAAAAGCCAACCAAAAGGTCGTCAAGGTTGGTGGAAAGAAAATAGTCTCGTGTGAGACGGACGAGTCCGATTTTGTCGCTTCTCTTCTCTCCAAGCCAACGGCCCAGGCGAGAGGAAAAAGGCTCACGATCTTCACAACCATCTTGTTCAAATGCACGTCCCATCATACAAGCTTCCGTTTTCTGCTCATGGGCAAAAGAAGACTAAAAGGACGAAGTCTGTTGACACCCCTGTCGCAAAGTTTATCCATGGACCTGTTGCTGTCGACGCATCAGCAGACGACACAGAGCTTATTGTTGGCGATTACGCATCCAATGTTGCTAATTTGGAAGCCGAAAATTCCATGCACGACAAGGGAACTCTCATCGGCAGCGTCTCCCAAATTAATCCTTTCCCCATCAATAAAGCTAAGGACAATCTGCAGCAGATCGACGTTCGGGTTACAGATACCATCGAGAAGCAAGTCATTCCTGATGACACTACCCCAGTAACCCCTCCCACATCTGATCTCGACTTCTCTTCCTCCGGCTCAGACTACCCAAAGTCAACCAAGACTTCCCGTCGCTCCTCCTTGGTGCCTGCCGTTGATTCTATTCGTCGCAAGGCTGAAAAGGCGCGCACCGCCTTCCTTGGGAAAACCTCTTTAGAGATGTTCGTGAATATACTCGACTTCGAGCGTTGCGACGGAACGACCACCAAAGATGACGTCTGCAAGGCCTTTGCTTCCCTTGCTGGTTGTCCCATTGCCAGTCTGGAATCTGTCAAGATTCAGCGCAAGATCAAGCTAGGCGGCACTTCACTCTATGGCTTTCTTCATCAACTCGACTTCGATGACAATGAAATCACTCTCATTGGCAAGGTCATGAACACCTTTGAAGAGGCGGCCAAGAATGAATTGGTATCTTCTAAACTAGACCTTGCTTTATGGCTTGCGGAATCGTCTCGGGATGATGGCAGTCATCAGGGTCTGCATTCGCTGCATGCTTCTAAACTCAGCGCGTTCAGACAAATCATCGCATAAGTCACATCGATATTCATGATCGGGGTCGAGTGTTAGGCATCCACCATCTAGGATGCAGTTCTTGATTGTTTGGTATTTGCGAAACCTCTTTCCGCTATTGCTCATTAGCATAGTACTGCCATTACCACTCGGTATCGAAGCAAGTCTTCCGCATAGGTTGAGTTTATGGGCTTTGGCTCGCCTGGAGTCAGGTTTGAGTTGGCCTATCCCTCCCTACTGTGAGTATTTGTCTAGGTATCTTGCGAGGGTGGTGCTACCTGTGACGATGAAGCCATAGAATACAAGGAAATTAGCCATAGATTCAATGTTGATGTTCAAAATCCTATTCCAAAATTCCAAGTAAAACCAGTGGTACGTGTATAATGGACATATGTCAGTGTGATGGCACTAGGAAGATGGATGTGTGGTTTGCGTTCATAACTTCATTGATATTCATCTAGCAACACAGTTTGTGTGCAATGCTATAGACTGTCCCATCTCACAAACATGTGCAAGGTTTAGACTTTCTGCTCAACCCGGTGGTTCTGTGTCTCAGCACCACCAGCATTCTCCATCTCGTATGTGACAGCCTTCTCGCCTGCGCTGTCCAAGATATCAGCCATACCACCAGATCCCCTTGTGAGTTCTGCACCCTTGCGACCGATAAGGTGCCAAGGCAGGTTGAACATCTCGTCGAGCGACTCGAGCGATTTTCCAGAAGTCTCGGGAAGGAAGAAGTAAACCCAGAAAAGACCAATGGCAGTGACGCAAGAGAAAAACAGCATAGTACCACCGTGGGTCATGGAGATGAACATGAGAGGTACAGCCTTTGAGTTACCGTACTGGTTGACGAAGTGGAATGTCATAGCGATGGAACCACCAAGCGCACGCAGACGGAGTGGGTAGATCTCGGAGTTGATGAGGTACTGGATCGAGTTCCATCCTAGGGCCCAACCGAAACCAGAGAAGTAGACCATGACGATTGCGCCCATGGCCGCGTGTTTCTGACTGGAGCTTTGAGGCTCACCGTCAGAAACACCAGTGTCGATGAGTAGGAAGATGGCCATGTAGAGCATGGATACGAGTTGTAGTGTGATACCGGTAGCGAGAGAACGTTTGCGGCCGAGGAAGTCGATGAGGAAGAATGCGCAAAGCATTGAGCTGACGAACTTGACGACACCGAAGATAGCTGTCGCGAAGAGCTTCTCGTTCTGACCTGTCGTGCCCATCATAGCGAAGTACTGGGGAGCGTAAATGGTGATGCCTGTTCGCTTAGAGTCAGTGTGTGTGTCGAATGTTTACGGTAGTGGGAGAACATACTGTTCGCGCCAGACCACTGTGATAGCAGCTGTGACATGACCGAAAGCTGGATGCGGTAAAGGTTGGCCTTGCTAGAGAAAAGTTCACGGACTGGTCCGAGCCATGTAGTGCCCATGGTAGCTTCGCGCTCACGGTTGAGCTGGTCGTTGATGTCCATGATCTCCGAGGTAACGTAAGGGTGGTCAGCGGGAAGGTTGCGGAGGACCGCAAGGTTGTCAAGAGCCTCCTCGTGGCGGCCGACCTTGATCAACCAACGAGAGCTCTCCTTAGCGAACCAGGAGAGTGTGAAGATGATACCAGCGAACATGAGGTGCATGCTGTTTGGAACGAGCCATTGGGCGTCAGTGGCAGACGAGATGTGAATGGAAGAACCCCAAGATGCGAAGTAGGCAAGCATGATGCCGATGTAGACTGAACCAGCGAAAGCGCAAACACAGAGACCTCGAATGGCTCTTGGTGCTGTCTCAGCTAGGTATGTGGGTGCAACGACGGTGGTCTGTCCGATACCAATACCAGCGATAAATCGACCGGCGTAGATCTGTCCGACGGAACCGGTGAGAGAACTGGTGAGGAAGATGACGATACCAATGACCCAGATAAGACACAGTTGTCGAGTGGCCCAAAGGCGGCCGATTTTGTCGGTGATGAAGAAAGCAATCAGCGAACCCAAGATGGAGCCCATCTGCACCATGGATGTGATGTTTGATAGAAGCTCGGCAATATCGTGCTCGCTCTTGCTGTCGTCGTCAAGTCCAAACTTGCGCCTGAAAGGGTCGAGTTCGGATGTAGTACCAATGAGACCTTCATCGATACCACGAGCAGCGCCCATGAGTCCGAAGACTATAGATGTTAGGTTGTTGAGCGCGTTGGGTGATGTAATTACTTACCAAAGACACCATACCAGAGACGCCAGTTAAGGCTCTCCTTGGGAGTATCCTTCAGATTCTCCTTCCAGGGGTTTAAGACGACCATGATGGGCAAGATTTGCAGTGATGGGTCGAGTTGAGGATGGGATTGAGCTGCTTCGCCTACGTCTGTCAAACAGGGAGGAAAGGCAGTAAAGCTCGAATTTCTACGAAGGTATGCACGCCTCTTATACTGAATCTTGCAAGCGATGGTGGGGTGTGATATGCGGAGACCCTAGGTGCGGACTGTCAAAGCATGCCCATCCATGACACACCCCAGAGCCTACCCCGGAGGCGTCTACTCCACGTTCGTTCATCGCCAGTAGTGGTCGGCGTCGGTCTTCCGAATAGAGAGGCGCCGGATGACCTTCCCAATCCCAACTGTGGTTTCCTCAACGTTCAATAGGTCGTCCCGTCTCATCGGCACTGCAGGCGTTGGACCTAGGCCTTGCGCAGAAAGCGGACCGCTGATCGTCTGATCAAATACCGATCAAGCGGCGACACGGTCACCTCTCACGCCTAGCACAAGAGCGCCATCTGCACAAAGGTTACACCCCGCCCAGCAAATGGGCGGAAGGTTGGCAGGCTTGAGTGGAGAAAGCTTCCTTGTTCGTGCGTCTTGTGGAGCTTGTGGCCGAGCTAAGCACCAGTCAACAACCTGGCCACTACACGATGGGAACCCCGCATTATCCCCCAAACGCTCTCGTGTCCCGGATTTTCTACAGTAGCTGTCGGTCGAGGAAGAGAAGCTTGTCAAGCTCATGGTAGCGGCCGGAGAAAAGCCGGTAAAACATGCCACGCAATTGGCTGGACGCACCGCGGGAAAATCTCGCAACCAGGATAAATTGCTACGCTATCCTGATGATGCCTCGCAACGAAGACCCTCGCCGGTAGAATTAACCCCGAGGAGAAAAAGACGTCGGAGCAGGATTTCGGCTTCTGCGACTAATCTCTTATGGACGACACCTCGTCTCGCGGCGGTGTGTCGACAGCCGATGCGGCTCCAGCTCCTTCAGCCTCTTCTGTTAGCGCCTGTTTCCCAACTTCCTCAAACGGCATGCCGTCCTGCAAAGGCTCTTGAAATAACGAACCCATTCTTAGACGTAGATACAATGCATGCAGAAGTTCTGGTAAAGCTAATGATGCGCAAGTGTAGAGTCCGCTGCTTCTTCGGTCGCTCTGGTGCCAATACGAGTCCTGGTTGCCGGTGCCTCTAATGATCGTGTAGCAGGATGATGTGACTCTTGGCTGCGTAACCCCAGAGTCCGACAGAGAGTTCTTCCATGCAGCGGCAGACGCTGACTCGTCAAACCCACAATAGCGAGCCTGACATCTCCAAGCGCTCTGGCTGGACTGTCGTGACAAGAGCCCAGACCAGCGGGGCATCTTTCTCCGCAGAGCTATGCACTCGTAGTGCATCTTGTCATGCGATGCAAAGGAATACGCAGGGCCAAAGACATGGTACGTCCATCTGCCTCGGTCGGGGCTCCGAGTGTTATCGGGGCGAACGTAGGCGCTTTGACTGATTGTCTCCACACACAGAGTGCGCGTGGGATGGTTCGTCAAGACTAAGCTCGCCATGCCTTAACCAAGTGCTTGTAAACAGTGTAAGCTGTTACGCCAAAAACCTGTAAAGTGCTTGACTAAGACGTCAGCAAAGTAAATCTTTCGATACCATGCGACGCTCGTAGACTTCGGGTGGACCATATCTTCTTAGCATAACCGTTGTGATAACCCCGAGGGTCATGCGGTCTACTTCTTGGTCCACAGTGGACAAGGTTTATCGGCTGGTCGGCGATGGCCGTGGGTCTAATCCTTCAGCTCACCCGTGCTGTATAAAAATGGATGCTGTTGAGAGTCCATAATTAACCGGGTGTCGGGAGTCGACGTGAACAAGGCGCATATGGATGCGATGTTATCTTCCAGTTTCTATTGCTGGCTAGGTCGTACTCAACAAATGCTGCTTCGTACAACACGTTCGGATATCTTGCGTGTGGGTGTGCCTGCAGCGGTAGTATCGCGGCATGGGGTGGGTACTGACGCTGACAAACGCTTCACAGTCGATTAGCGGCATCAAATCGTATCTGGAGCGAAAAGCACGCACTGACAAGCTCATAGTGGATATTGACCAAGACGCCAATGTTGGGGATGGCCCCATTTATACGTCTTGGGCACACGGCAACTGAGTCAAACCGTGCGGAGTAATAGATTCCGGGGTACGAGGTGGGTGAATCACTCAGACTGGACGCCTGAGGGTCTTGCACGGTTACTCGGACCTTAGCCTCCCAATTGAAGGCTAGAAGATGGAGGACCTGTGGAACCATAGGAGTGTCGGTGTGATGGCAGCGAATGAGATGCCGCATTGTATGTGAACAGCCTAGGATAAGGAAAGTGTAAGCGATTTCTCGCGACCGAGGGGCAAGACGAATCACTCATCGCACTATAGTAAAAGCAAACTCGCTGCAAAATCCTTATCGTGCGAGTGACTGAGAATACACAAAGACCTTACCTGCTTCGGAGAATGTGTAGCCGAAGTTACGCTGGGGAAGGCACGATGACTTGTTGATAGATAAGGAGATATGCACCATCATCAAGCGAGGACCTCACCAGGCCATATCTGACTCATTGGGTCGTAGTAGTAAAGCCAATGTACATTGAAAGGTCAAATCAACAAGCTCGAAGACTGATACTGTTCAGTGTCGTCTCTACGCTTTTGATGGGTTCGCAACTTTCACATCGTTAACACAACGGCATGTGTTACCTCACAAAATATCCATTGCATGCTAGAATAGGCAAGCGATGACCTCATTTCGGAAGGATGGCTATATGATCGGACTAGGCCGACCCGGGAATTGACACAGAAAATGAACCATTCGATACTGCTGTCAGACCACTGTCCTAGAGAGCTCACTCGTCGTCAGAGACCCCCTCGGCATCCTCTTCTTCCCCATCCCAAGTAGTCTGCTTGTTCAGACCAAAGTTGCCATTGTCCTCAGGACCTCTCTTTTCCCCTCGAATCGCCTCACCAGTACCCTGCTCATCTTCCAATCCTTCCCCAAACCGATCCAGCAAATCCTGATCTATAGAGTCTCGCATCTCCCTAACATTCAAACCCGTGTCTCGCAAACCTCCCTCGGCTTCCCTGTCCTTCGACGCCAACTCCCGGTAGCAACGCTGTCCATTCTTACCATGCTCGTGATATCGCTTACACCACGCACCTTCCGTACTCTCTTCAATCTTCAGTGTAAGGTTCCTCCGACACATACGCAGACTAGTCTGCATAATGTTGAATAGCAGGTCTGGATGTAATTCGAATCCCTCCCTCGTCATTTCTCCAATAACTTCCTCAGCTTTGTCACCAAACAAAGCCAAAGCATCGGCCCAGAGAAACCTTGCGCCGCACCCTGGAGACGTGAACTTGTAAAGGAGATTTAGAAGATCGGTGTTGATCCATGTGACGTCTTCCTCGAGCTCCGGATCTGTGACAACAAGACCATATTCCTTTGGGTCTGCATCGAATTCCGAGGGAATATAGTGACCCTTTGCCAAGGCCTCTTGTGCTTTACGCTTACGTCGGTCGAGAGCGGGATTGGGGCGCCATGTCTGGGTTTGAGGCTTCTGCTGGTCTTTTTTACGCATGTCATGAAAAGCGCGTATCCAGGTATCGGATATCATATCGCAGAGATCCCATCGCTGTTTCCGGTAGCAGAGGACGTAGAGTTGTGTGAGGGCTTTGGCGCTGTAAGGTTGGGCGTGACCAGGGTGGGAGGCGTTGCTGAAGCTGGGAAGGTCGATAAAGGTTCTTGTGGTGCTATGAAGGGCGTCTAGAATGGCGTATACGTCCGCATCGGCTACGAATTGGGCAGGATCTGCGGCGAGAGATGGTACTGGTAGGTTTTGGAGGAACGGAGACTCTGCGCTCTCTTCATCTCCTTTAACCACAGAAGCGCCAAACGAAGTGTTATTTTTGGGCGGGCAACCTCTTGGTTTTGGATACTGCTGGAGGTGCTCTTGTGCTTTGTGTGAGACGTACGCTAGTCAGGTGTCAGCGAATCTAAGCTCCTTTAATCTGTGACGTTTGGTACTTACGTGGGTCACTTGTCAGAAACATTCTGTCGTCATCTCCATGGTCCTCTGAACTCTGATCAATGAACAAATCAATGTCGCTGCCCTGTATAGTATCGTACTGCTGCGGCTTTTGAATCGCCCGTCCAGTACGAGTCGTGACCGGCGCCGGCTGTGCTAGTTGCTGAGGAAATCCATCATCTTGGTCTCTGTGGCCATCGTGCGGCAGGGTTGCACGCGAATGCGGATTTGGAGGATCTAGTCCCATGTTGACTTTGAACGTCAACTTCTGAGATGCTCCATTCTGTGACGTCCCAGATGTTGGTGTTGCTGACTGCGAAGGCCTGCCTTTGGGTCTACCACGTCTACCGCCACCACCTTTGGTGCTGCCGCGAGGACATCCTGTCCTCTTCTCCGATACGACAGTCTTTTGTTTTCCCATCAGGTTGTTGACTGTAGTGTAAGTAGGGTAAGTCTGCAAGAATACAGCTGAGTCGCTGTAGTCAAGACTAGGTTGTGATTTATATAGTGGTAGTTGCGTTACAGTTAAAGGTCTTCTGTCGTGAATGAAACTCTTAGAATGATCTTCGTCCATCGTTACGCTGAGCTGTAGTGAATGTGAATGGTGATCGCTGGATGAGTCTAGCTATACTAGGCTACAATAGATAACACGGTGAGGTTGCGGCAGGGGACCAACAGGATGCGCAAATAGCTGGTAAGAGAAAAAAGAGCAGTATAGGCCTGCCGATGTGGCGAACAGCAACCCGACAATGAAAGAGATTGGGCCTTTTGGAATGAGAGCAAGGGCTTAACCTTGCCAGATACATCATCCGAGGAGATTTGTCATGCGCACCTGTGGTAGAGAGGTAATGGGACAATGAGAAGTTATGTTTTTTTGAGACCTCGCAGGCCAACTCTCGTAATCTGGAGAAATCCATGACATGGAAGCTCGGGAGCCGCTGGGCAATGTGATGAAAATGTACTCTATCGTAAGAACTTCAGGCTACAAGTCATCTCAACCATGCGGTTGATGGCCGAACGTGAGACCCAAAGACGCTCCTATCGTCGCCGCCGCCGCCGTCTCCTCCCACTTCGCATGGACCCGTTCTGCTCTGAAGACGCATTCCTCACAAAAAATGATGTCAGCTTGCTTCATCAAGAGGCGTCGAACGCCATCTTCGTTACAAGGCCAGTCGTCGTTGCAATTGCGAGCACAGTTTCGTGAATCTGCGCACCAGACCGTGTGGCCGCAACACAGATTGTGTGCGTAGCAGTTGGAACTAGGGAATGGGCTAGCCAACAAGGCCTCAACGCCAACGTGCGGAACTCGAATAGCCGCTACTATCTCCCCACGTGTAAGACCGATACAGCGCCGGGGCGTGGGTATGGTACTACGTGGGAGGTCGTCGGAAGGTGGTTGCATTCTTCTGTAGTTGTCCCAAGGTATGCCTTGACAAACCTCGCAGTAAAGGAAGTCAGGGCGCTGCACCTCGGGCAAAGACAGGAGGTCCCGGGTCGTCAGACTGAGAGGATGGATGAGCGATCGACTTGACTATGTAGGTTCTGTCACACGCATACAAGGTAGAGCTTTGGGTGCTGTTGGCGGTCTCTTGACAATTGATGCCGCAGCGTGTATCTCCTCCATCAATAGCGACGATATGGCCGCATTTGAGTCTGAACAAGGGCGTACAAAATCAGTGTATGTTTCACATCCACTTGGCACAGTGGAACTTACAGATGAAACATGCCTGACCGAAAATTACCATCATGGCGGAGTATAGCAGCGCAAGGCTCGATCGCAAATTGAGCCTGCTGATTACTCGCGGGTTCCCCATAGCTGGCTTGTGGTGGAACGGGGGTCTTATACTCCATCCCAGATGGAGTTTAGGGGAGGTGGGCGGATATTGAAAAAGCTGACAGGGAGAATTTGTAACGCTGAGAAAAGACTCATTGGTCGGCGGGGTGAAGGTGAGAGTGAATTGAAAATCGAAGCCTTGGGCAGACGGCCTGAGCTCACCAAAGATTGCCATTTCCTAAGTCTCGTTGTTGCAACAACCATTGAGGAAGTCGCAATGGCAGAACCAAGTCGGTCGTTGTTGCCATGGTTGTCACGAACATTGCTCACTATTTTGGGTCAACTTGCAGAATACTCAGCATAGCAGTTGCCTCAGCTGTCGTCTTGGCTGTCTCCAACTCGCCATTCTTCAATTGGGGGAAGATGGAGTTGTCGTGGGTGATGCCGAGATGCCGATGGGAAGCAGCGTGACTAAGCGGCTCCCGACTGCAAACACGGCAAACAGCAGCTGCAGGGAAGGCGGGTGAATGCTGATAGGATGGCTACGTCTCAGCTATCACACCTCACTCATCCAGCGCGCCTGCTCGTCTAGTCTGCCTCGACTCTTGGACTGTGCCTGCTCATGGAGACGCGGCTGCTGCTCCTACAGGACGCTGGACTCGCTGGGGGTGGCTCATAGCCCGCAATTCCGAAAGGTACTCCTCCAATTGTCCCGCCCGCTCCATGCCACCCGTCCGCTATCGCGAAACATCCCGCACGCCATGTCTCCCGGCGGCCCTGGACATGTCCAGGAGCCGTCTGCGTCGGCCCTCTACGACCTGTCGCCGTTGATGGGCTCGCTCTCTAATGTGCTCGCAGGGACTTCGCACCACACCGGCAACAGGTTGCCCATCATTCAGCCTGCATCGCCGCCGAACAAAGGCGCGCCGCACGCTTCGCCCACCAACAACCGACCCGCCGTCTATTCCGCAGCCAAGGCACATGCACATGCGACTGCCATTGCCAGCTCTGGGTCCTCAGCAACTGAATCTATCTCCGAGTTGACGTCGTCGTCGTCACGGGATTCCCTCCCCAACCCCCCAGGGCGCAACGGCCCTACCACGCCCCAGAAGCCGGCGCGCAACAACAGGCGGAAACACTCGACCAAGTCCGTGGGCAGATGGAGTAGGCCGCCCGCCTCTTCAGATGATACCGGCTCCGACCGCAAACCGCCCACCTCGACGCCCGTAGAGTCCGCCCAGAGCGCCGCTCGCTCCCCCCAGACTGCGTCCAAGACACGCCAGCAACCCTCTCTTGCTACCACCAGCGCTTTGCCGAGCCAAACGCGATTCATGGCAACAACCTTTGGAGGTCCTTCGGGTGATTCGCGACGGGGAGTAGTCTCTCCTCGCCCTAAGGGACGCGGTATGACGCAGTTACACCTATATATATACACTACATGGCAAGTCTGACTGGCCCTCTCAGAAGCGAAGAACACCCTATGTCGCAATGTCACCATCTACGGACACTGCCGCTATGAAAACAGTAAGTCTTGGTGGCTGCATCGGCCGAATGCTTTGGTGACCCGAGTCTAGCCTGTCCCTACATCCACGACAACCTCAAGTTGGGCCAGAATGAAAACGCAAAAAAGAGGTTCAATGTCGACTCTCCTTCCTTTACCCCGCTGCAGGCAAGTACCAATGGGTCCGTAACTCCATCCTCTCGCAGCGCCACCATCTCGCCCAAGGCTGCCAACGCTGCCGTCTTTACCCCTAAATCGCAACGCTCCAGTGAGTTCTTAAACAATCACCAGTACCGTCTCTCTACACATGCTGATTACCTCAGCCGTCACCACCCCGCATATGCACGCGAAAGAGCCCGCAATCGATTGGCATTCGCAAGACTTTCAAGAGTTCGTCCCGCAGTCTTTTGAGGGCCAGCAGATGGTGCGTGACTTTACTTGAACATATTCGTCATCTTTTCGTGATATTAGAGCGCCTTCTCCCACCTTGTTCTCGACTTACAACGCCCTAGGTCGAATCCAACCTTGGCTACGATCCATTCAGTACTCCGTCCAGCATCTCTACCCTCACTGGTGCAACTCACCAGGCTGCTACCATTAATCCATATGCACAAGATGCATCGACGACGTATTTTCAAAATGCCAATGCCTTCCAGACCCCTGCCTACCATCTGTACTGGCCGGTAGGACCACAGCCAACAGGGCTACTCGCATACCAGCGTACTGCTCATGACTTTTTCATCCCTGACGCACTACGGGAAGAGCTGCAGAAGAAGGCGGATATTGCACGCCAGGTCGCACCCAACAGTACTTTACCCGTCATTGAGCAGTTTCACTCTTTATTCTGCCTGGACATGTCACCACAGAAAAACACTGCACCTTTCGGGTACGCTAGCTGGATCTACAAAGCTGTTTCCAGCAAAGATGGCAAGACCTACGCGTTACGCCGTCTCGAAAATTTTCGCCTTACAAGTGAGACTGCGATTCGCTCCGCTCAGCCATGGAAACGCGTCTTGAACGGCAGCGTGGTTACAATCCACGAAGCCTTCACCACTCGAGCTTTCGGTGACAGCTCTTTGATTCTGGTCACAGATTATCATCCAAACTCAAAGTCACTGGCTGATGAGCATTTCAAACCAGTGCAGCGATTCCACGGCAGGCAGCCAGCATCATCACATGTACCAGAGCAAGTCCTATGGGGCTATATCGTTCAGATCGCGTCAGCCCTCAAAGCCATACACGGTTCGGGTCTGGCAGCGCGCCTCATCACACCATCCAAGATACTACTGACTTCGAAAAACCGGATACGACTGAATGCATGCAGTATCATGGACATTGTTCAATTCGACAATGCTCGCCCTGTGCCCGAACTTCAAGCAGACGATCTGGTGCAGCTGGGACGGCTGATACTTTGCATTGCCAACAATAACGCTACAGCTCATTTGCAGATGCAAAAGTCCATGGACTATATCACTAGAAGTTATACAGCCCGCCTTAAAGAGTGCGTGCAATGGTTGCTCAACCCCCAACCGGCACCAGGAACACCATCTTCTCCAACTACGCCAGCACCAATGCAGAAAGACATTGACACCTTCCTGGGTGGCATTGCCGATCAATTCGCATCGGTCTTTGACAGTGAGCTACACGCTCAGGACACACTTACAGTCAATCTTGGGAAAGAGCTGGAATCTTCGAGACTGGTCCGTCTGCTTGTCAAGCTCAACATGATTAATGAGCGACCAGAGCTAGACGCCTCACAGAGTATGCCGGGCAACAACGGCCCAAACCCATCTTCAGTATGGGCAGAAACGGGAGAGCGCTACTACCTCAAGTTGTTCCGCGACTACGTCTTCCACCAGGTAGACGCCAACGGACACCCCGTCACAGACCTTGCGCATGTTTTGGATTGCTTGAACAAGCTAGACGCCGGAACCGATGAGAAGATACCGCTCGTTAGCCGCGACGAGCAAAATGTGCTGATAGTCAGCTACCGCGAAGTGAAGCGAGCCCTGGAATCAGCATTCCAAGATTTAGTACGGGCGGGACGTGTTTCGGGGAAATAGGATTCTTCAAACTCGTCCAGTCCACGCAGCTAGCATCACTATGGATATGCAAAAAGAAAGGGTTCTCAAATCAGAGGAGCCTGAGGAGGGTCAGGTCAGAGAATAGTAAATCAAATTAGATGACGTGAGCATCGGTGTTCCTCCCGTCAGAAAGAGATTATTAAATGGAAGAACAGGCTGGAGCGGATTTGACATGATTGCATGAGTTGCGTATTGTTGTTGTATTGACGGAAACAGACGGTATAGTAAGAACTAGAGGACCACAGACTATTCATAGCGCAATGAAAATCGCAATTTCAGCTTCGGACGGTTTTCATGCAGTGAAAACAAACGTATTATTATGTAACTCTATAGAGTACATGTTCATCTTGCGCCGTATGGCCCTTCGGTTGAGAGGCAAAGATGCAATCGTACAAGAAATGTTTGAGCTGAAAGCGAATGAAGAAGGAGTAAAACAGACAAGTGAAGTCGCAGATCACTACAATATGAGTAGATGGACGAAAAAGTGAAAATGAAATGCGCCGAATGTGCACGCAGAAAGTCTGCAGGTGCAGCCGCCAAAATACCACTCGGCGCGCGGCGCGTCTCCTCAACCAGTGAGCCCCTTTGCCGGCTCCATATGAGTAACTCGCCAGTCTCATGCCTTGTCATATGTCACAAGTCATCTATTGGCTCTTCTTCGAACCCCTCCTAGGCAAACCCGCCTTCCTCCGCGCCTTCCTGTCACCCTCAGCAAGCCACTGACTCGCCTTGACCATCTGTACCACATTGATCCATTGCTTGATAGCCATGAAGGGAGCCGAGGTAAGCATGCAGATCCACGGGACCGTCGAGTCCATCTTGTTGGCACGAGCCATCTCCATGGCTGCGGCGGAGAAAGGACTGGCAAAGAACATGGAGGGTTTAGGAGCGGCAGGCGAACCGGGCTGGATGGAGGGTGGGTTGTTGAGGTCGGAGAACAGGGTGGGCGAGAGGAGCGGGGAGCTGAAGGAGAGGAGGTAGAGGGCGATGAAGAACATTTCGTTCATGAAGCAGAGGGTGAAGAGAACTTTCTGTCAAACTTGTTAGTATATGCTTTGTGACCTGTGCTACACACGAGACACCAGTCGGGTAGGACGTACGTTGTTGGAGTAATATTGCTTCATCAACCAACCCTTGCTCTCATCCACGTTCTTGTGGCTCTGGTCGCTGCCACCCATGCTCAGGGTCGCGTACATGTGCATGTAGTGGCTGGCCAGATCCAGCGAAATAAGGCCCTGGAAGACGATGCTGAAGCGAGGGAAAGCCTGCGCCAAGAAGACGAGCAAGCAGGTTGTTGTACACCTGTCCGTCACCATGTCTAGCACGGCACCAAACTTGGTGCTCTGCTCATATGCTCGGGCCGCGTATCCATCGAGCGCGTCGAGCAGGCAGGATATGCTGTAGAGGAGGGTGCATGTACGCGGGTGGAGGGGCATGTAGTAGAGTGAAATCAAGGCGAGGAAGACGCGCGAGTATCCTGAAAGTCTGTTAGTCAGGTCGCCGTAACGTGAAAAGGACGCGCATACCAATCAGATTTGGGATGAAGAGGAAGATGTTCTCTTTTGCGCCCTCCTTCTCTGCCTGTGCAGGCCGCACTGCTGTGCCATTGCCGTTGACTCGCGTTTGTACTGATGCCATGGTTGCAAAGGTTGTGATTGTCCCACCGTCTTCTCAAGTGCCTGCGATGCCGAAGTCCGCTATCACGACGTGTCTTTGTACACAGGTGTGCCCCGCTGCGCTTATTCGAAGGAGTCGAGGCTCGTATGCGCGCCTTGCTTATGCTCGGAGTACTAGGCTGCAGGAAATCGTCCGAGGATGACGTGGAACGATACGTATTCGCAGGCTGAGTATAAAACTACAGCGTAGTTGAAGGCGAGCGTGCTAAAAGCTAACAAACACAGTTGAGCTTGCAATAGCTGTTGAAGCTGAGCGGGTCCAGACTAGAAAGTTGTCGAATAAGCCGCCGATAAGCCGAGCTGATAACGAACCCTGTCGCAAATGCAGAAGTAGGAAGTGTGATTGCAAAAGAGTAAGGCCGAACGGTAGAAGCAGGTGATGTGAGTTTTGTTGAAAGGAGTGTACGTGTCAAAAACAGGTGGCAGTAAAGTAAGTGGTGCCTGGAAATTGAGGTAGCCCATAAATCTGCCATGTTCGTCCGCCAGCTCCCGGTTATCCGCCTAGACCAAAAAGGGGCTTGCTTGGCAGATGAGATCAATCAGACATCAGACCCATCGTCGAGCGGATCAAACTACTTGCCTCCCTCGGTGAACAAACGTCTCTTAGAACGAGTATCGCTGGATGATGGCATTAGGCAGTACAGCAATAGCCTCGGTTGTTACAAATGATTATTGCATATTGGTGCAAAGTGGTATCATTAGGATATACTTTCAGCCACGAAACTAACAACGAAAATATCTAGTCTTTGAAGCCCTTGAACGAACCAGTCTTCGCCGCAATCTTCTTAGACTTGCTCTTCGCGTGAGCTTGCTTCTCCTTTGCTTTGCCGGTACTCAGGCCTCGATCAGCCTTGCCCTTCTTGAACAGCTTGCCTTCTGTTCGGACATCCTTCATCTCAAGCTTCTTTCGGTCCTTGCCGCTGAGCTTCTTCTTCTTCTCCTTGCCCTTGACCGACCCTCCGGCCTGCCCGTTGAGCGCGGCAGCACCCCTTTCCCTCTCTGCCATCTTGTCCTTTTCAGACTCGAACCATGTGCGTCTTGGTCGGGCCTTGATCTCATCTTCGTGCTGTATCAAGTTCTCACCTCGTTTGAGGTCACGCTCTGTGATACTCATGGCACGCTCCTCCTTCTCTTCAGCGAGAACCTCTTCAATCTCACCCTCGAGGTCCTTAATCTTCTTCATCCACCTATCAGTCTCTTCGACAGGGACTTGCCGACTGACTACCTTGGCGCCCTGGTCGCGAGAAGCCTTGACAGCTTGCTTGACAACCTTGCGATCGGGTTCTGCGGCAAGCGTGCAGGCCCGACCACTTCGTCCAGCACGAGCGGTACGACCGACACGATGCAGGTAGATTTCGTGGCTCTGCGGTGCTTCGTAGTTAATGACTGTTGAGACGTTCTTGATATCAAGACCACGTGAGGCAACGTCGGTAGCCAGTAGGTAGGCCGACTTGCCTGAACGGAAGGCTTCTACGGATTGAATACGCTGTTGTTGTTGTTAGTATTGTGTCATGTCTCAGACGTTCTACAATTTCTTACCTGCTCTTGGCTCATGTTACCGTGGAGCTCGCTGGCTTTGAGCCCACAGAGAGCAAAGACAACTCGCACCCTATGTGCCTCCTTCTTCTGCCTGAAGAAGACAATGACTTTCTCGGTGTAGATCTTTTCGCAGATGTACATCAAATACGCAAGTCTCTTGTCTTCTTTGCCTTGCCTCAATCGTACAAATTCTTGGGTCAGACCAGCGACAGTGTGCTTCTTGGCATCGACCATCAGACGCACCGGCTTGTCCATACCAATTTGAATCAGCTTGTCAACCGAGCTTGTCATCGTAGCAGAGAAAAGCATAGTCTGTCGCGATTTTGGAATGGTGTTCAGAATCTCAGTCAGTTGGCTTTCGAAACCCTCTTCGAGCATACGATCAGCCTCATCGAGGACGAGAATCTCGAGATGCTCAACCTGGAAAGCAGCTGTATTGTGCATGTGATCAATGAAACGACCAGGTGTGGCAATAACAACGTCTGGTCGTGTTTTCAGCACAGCTTCTTGGTCGCGCGTTGAGAAACCACCAGCCATTAGTGCGAAAGTGATGTCGGTGAAGGACGCAAGCTTGGTAGCAACGTTAAAACATTGCACCGCCAACTCACGCGTAGGCATGAAGATAGCGACACGGGTTGTAGGAACCTTCTTTGGGCGGTAGAGAAGACGTTCGAGGATAGGAATGAGGAAAGCGGCCGTTTTACCGGAACCAGTTTCGGCTCCTCCCACGACGTCCTTGCCTTGCATCGCAATGGGAACTGCTTTGTTTTGAATAGGCGTTGGCTCGGTGAAACCCACAGATGCCAAACCTCGTAGGATGGGTCGCGAGAGTGACATCGCTTGGAAGGACCCTGTGCTGCCTTTCGCGCCCTTCTTCTTCTTGATAGGTACGCTGTCTTCTGGCGCGAAGAAAGCAGCTGCCTTCTTAGCCTCGACTGCATCCTCCTGCTCACTCTCCACTTCGTCTTCTGTCTCGGCACCCTCGAGATCCATGGGATGCGGTACGTGGGGTACCTCTGCCTCGTCGTCTGAGTCGTCCTCTTGGGAATTGCCTCCACTGCCCTCATCACCTGAAGCTTCTTCGTCTTGATCCTCCTCGTCTTCGGAGTCGCTTGCTGCGCCCATGCCAAACCCGTCCTCGGCCATGAGCTCATCATCGTCGCCAAAACCCTCAAAGTCACCGTTGACTGAGGCGTCTGGCGACTCCGCGTCTATGGCTGCTTGTGCGCTCTTCTTATTCCGTCTCCGCTCAATAATATCATCAACGTCGACTGCATTGCCCTTCTTCTGTGACTCCTGCGCCACTGTGCCATTGTCATTGCCCCAGCCGTCGAACTCCTCCACAAAGCCAGTGTCTATGTCGCCGACTGCGAACTCGAAGTCGCTAGCAATGTCGTCGTTCTGTTCGACGTCTTCGCCTGGTGTTGGCATCGCATTGTCATCTTCTTCGAGCTCTGGTTCGGCGTCGGCTTGTTTCCCCTTCTTTCCCTTCTTCTTATCCTTCTTTGCTTTCTTGGACGCGACCTCTTTGGGCTTCACGTTGAGGTCTGGATCTTCGGTGTATTTCCTCTTCTTCCCAGCTCCAGCTAGTTTGGCCGTCGCCGCAGCGGCGTCGTCGGCGCCACCGTCGTCGGAAACATCGTCGTGGTCGGAGATTGTGAAGATGAAATCGTCGTCAATATTTGGCGCCATAATTGCGTGATATCAATATGAATCGTCACGTTTATGAAAGTTCAGCATTTACAAGCGTCGCAAAAAAAGTTCGGGCTCGGGGGATCTGTGCTCAGCGCACCCCTGTCGCGCTAAGCAGCGTCGCCGCAACCACTACGAGGAGGTGGGTCTCGAACTTGTAGCGAACACCATACCATACCGCCTCGTGAAGATACTTGCACCCTTCTAATTAGTTAGCACGTTTGTTGCGAACACTACGCCTGCTGCGGCCGCTCTCGTGTAGAGATCGTCTAAACTCGGGAGCTGCGCAGGTCGTGACTAGCGTGTTGACTGCCTATCAGGCATCCTTGGATCAGAGACATTTGCGGCAAACGAACATGGTCCAATGAAGACTGACGACTCATGCCTTTCCATGATACTAGATGTCGTAACAACTTGAAGCCGCCCTGTTGCAGAGTAGCTTGCCTTGTAATTACTCTGATGTGGATACTGCAACTGCTAACCTTCATCCAACAACCTATCTATTGAGTGAGTAGTCAACCATGCATCAGGCTGGCAACATGTGCGGGTTCATACTTCGAAATTCCAGGCTACTGACTTCCTACAAACGAACGGAAGACCTCCCATGAGTCACTGCCTATCAATTCAAGTGAAGAATCAGGCACCCATGCCGCCTTCCGGCATCGCTATACTGATGTCAGCTGCAGCCTCAGCCTCATATAACTAGCCTTGTCAGTCAATCCTCAGTCTGTAAACCTCCACTGTCACACTCCTTACTCTGATCGACCGCTTTAGCCATAACGATCAACTGAGATTGCAACACTACGTCACTGACCACAACGTCACACAATGCCTAAAGCCGTCAAACCACCCTCAACGAGCAGCCGAGTCCTACGATCTCATACCAGACAAGCAGCTACAAAAGCCGCCCCAATGAAGGTCACCAAGAAACGTCGCCCGCGTGCAGATCCCTGGGCGAAGAAGCGCAAGCCAAACCCCAGTCTCAAGCCACGCAAACCAACGCCAACCGACTTCACATGCCGCATTTGCATCGAGGAGAAACCCACAGACCAATTTGTAGGATGGGTTCCTCCAAAGCGCGGTCGCTGGCGACCAACAGACGTCCCATTCGCCTGTGTCGCCCATCTAGCCCGTAACCCCAGCAAACGGAAAGTCAACCCCGTCTGTAAAACATGCATTGGGCACTTTCTCTCTGCCAAGATGGATACACTAGGCGTACGAACAATTAGCACCGGCTGTCTAGAACCCGGCTGCTCAGTACCCTGGTCCCACGACTTCGTGTTACGCTATATGCCGCCCGGCGCTCCACTGGAGAAATTCAACATGGAAATGCTGGAGGTGTGGAAAGAAACTGCAAGTCCAGCACCACTCACTTGTCCATCGACGACTTGCAATGCAATTGGTCTACCAGACACGGCAGCGCCGGGGTACCCGCAAGTTACTTGTCACGAGTGTGCGTTCCGATCTTGCGCCCAGTGCCTTGTTGCTTGGCATAAAGATGTTACATGTGCGGAGTATGCGGCCAAGCATGTCGAAGAGAAGATAAGCGAAGAGGAAAAAGACACACTCAAGTATATGCAAAAGTTGGATGGAAAGAGGTGTCCGAACTGTCAGTTGGTCATTGAAAAGGATGGGGGATGTGATAGTATGGTGAGTGAGGTCCACTTCTCATCTTTCTCGTTTCAGATCATCTTTGGCTAACGGAGCGGACTAGTTCTGTGTAGGTTGCCACAAGTACTTCAACTGGGCCAGTGCCGCTTCAGCCTTGACCGGTGCTAAGAGAGCCGAAGTGCCTTACATTCGTGACATGCCTTACTGGCAGAATGTCGGTACTGTTACTTGCGAAATGGACGGCATCCTTGGACTGGGTGGTACTGCCGGTACTGTTGCTGCCACATCATGAGTGGTCATCACTCAGTGTTGGGGAAACATGGTTACGACTGATATGATTACGATGCGACATACATTGCTACATGATTTGTAATTGCGACATGCGTACAGAGCGCCCCGGTGTGGGTTGTTTCAGGCTTGAGTATGTGTGGTGGTGTCTTTATCGAATCATGTTGTGCATAACGTTTACTACATCACATTTCTGAATACACGAAGACATCATTCTTGAATCTGTCGAAGCCCCTAGGCTTCAAATGTTTTAGATTTCTGGTGTACAGAGTTTGCGTATTAGTTACAGAATCCCGATTCGCGGCCACGAATACCCTTCTTTCCTCGTGTGGTGTAAAGCAAATTGATCGCTCCCCTTGGTGATTGTGACTCCATTGCGTGGACGAATACCACCTGTCCCGCTATTCACAAACGCCATGTGATGCATTTTGAACGCCAGCCAACGTCAATTCGAGAACGGGGGTGATGCATTAAGTAAAGTGTGCGTGATCAAACCTTCTTGTAGTGTTTTTGTGACTCGCTTGGGTGCAGTCTTTTCCTACTTTTTTTCTGGTTTTGTTTGTTAGAGGCCCTCGGATGTACTGATACGCACCTGATGCGGCGTCGAGTCGCAACTCCGGAGGCGTCTCTAGTCGATGAGGACCTGCATGATCAGGCATGCAGGTTGCTAACGAGCCGCACCTTTGGTAGTGCAGGCAGAACTGAAATGAAGAAGAATGTCAGAAAACCCATGGAATATCAAGTGAATGATAGAGAAGAGAAATAGCGAACATGTGCTAGCTTAGCTGAGAGGGAGCTTATGCTGCCGTTGGAGTAGGCACTCCATTGGTAGCAAGCTCGGACTGTCGACGCTTTGCTGCTGAATGCTCGCTGTCCTATATTAGCACAATGGTTAGCATGGTAACGTAAGATTGCTTTCTGGCGCGGGCGAGCGTCGAGAGGATTTGAGGAGGCGGAAGTCACGCACGTCAAGGCCTGTATCGGCGAAGTGGCGCTTAGCACTTTTCGCGTCCTTCTTCTTCTTGTCTTTGCTAGGCTTCTTCGGTCGAGTCTCTCCCTTCTCGAAAACGTCATCGGGAAGCGCAGTGCTAGCAAGTCAGCAGAGGTCTGGGCATGAGTGAAGGCGAGTGTCTTACTTGCGGGTATGAACCACCTTGACCGACATGGTTTTGTCGTCGTAGAGGTCGGAGTCGGTGATGTAACTCCTGAACTGACTGACTGGATAGGAGATATCGAGCGACTTTGTAGCATCTACACAAACAGTCAGAGATAGGTAAGAGATTTTGCGGATTAAGAATACTTACCTGGAGGTAGAGTGAGACCGATGTAGAAAGTAGTCGTGTAGATAATGTGGGTGTCGCCATTGGCTGGCTCTGTCCCTTCAGCAGGTACTTCAGATGCTGGTATCATATAGTCAAGCGAACCCTGCGTGACCTCATGAAACTGATCGTCTTTGCAGCGATGGTACCGTTCAAAGTATTTGATGTAAGGGCGCGCTGTATCGATGCCCGTCTGTCCATCATCGATGCCCTTGACAATGTGACGAATCTTCGATTGCACGAGTCCGGAGAAGGTGGAGTTAGCTTCCTTGCTGCGACTCGCGGCCACAACACTGAGGTAGTATTTGTGGTCTTTGGTAAAGAAGGAATGGCGCTCAAAGAGGGAATCCCAGTCCTTAGCACCTGAGAAGATGTGTTGTAAGATCTTGTCCGCTCGTCCGAACTCTTCCTTCATGATGCGCAGTGTCGATGGCATCACCGTGTGGGTAGCGCACATGGAGGGGAATGCGGGTGTAATTATAGGCATGAGGTGAGCTCGGTCACCACCGTAGACCTGGGGGTTCCATACACGAAGACCCAAGTCGCCCTCTTCGATGTGTTTCAGCATAACGGGTCGCGGCCAGGTCCACTTGTACATCAAGCTGAAGAACTTGGAAACGATAGTAGCGCCGTTGGCCATGGGATATAGCTGACAGATGCGCGCAACCATGATAGCCCACGCGACACCACCAGGGTATCCGAAGACTGCTCCATAGATGCCGCGGCGGTTCGACCAGAGTTTGATGGCCCTCAGCGCATGTCGAAAGCTGACCTTTTGTGGCACCGCATCCAGCAGCTCGTTGGTTACTCGTGTGCCGTTTACGCTTCGTGTCGCCGACTCGCTGAGACCCTCCAGGTCCTTCTTTTCAATCGTCTCCATAGTCCTGGGTATCGACGACCTCTTGGGCAGAGACGTGAACAGTAGATCTATGCTCACACCGCGATATTCCATCTTGATAATCGGCACAAAAGCATCTTCGACGGGCACGAATTCGGTGATGTCTTCCGTGTTTGACATTTCTTTGAAGGTCGGAGGGAAGTTTTTGAAGAATTCGTCGATGGTGACGAACTTGGGCGCGACAACGAGAGTATCGATATCCGACGTGGGACCGTGGACGCCGAGAGCGTAACTACCAAAGGTGAAGATCTTGCCGCCGGCAGCATCGAGGACGGACTGCTGAACACCCTTTTGTTTGCCGACGCGACGGACGAACTCTTCGACGACTTTCTGGATGTGCTCGATCACCTCCTCCCTGACAAGATTAGCTTGGCGCAATCGTGTGCCGAACGGCCATCTTACCTCCTGCGGTTGCCTTCGGGAGTCTCGAAGACATTCTCAGCTTTGAGTGTTTCGATAAGCTTGTCGTTCAGCTTGATGTCGTGTTCGGTGGGCGCGGCCTCGGAGATGGCGCTGGTGACACCAAACTGCCGGGTGGGCTTCTTCTGACCGTCCATGGTATAAGTCGAGAGTCGGGGCTGCAGAGTCGCGCAACTTCGGGGGTGCTGCGGCGAGCGGCGCGAAGGAAGTTGCAATCAATGCGCGTGTCGAGGAGGGTTGTCGTGAGAGGCGGCTGGGAAATGAGTGTAATGAAAGATTCAGCGCTCCCACATGGCGACGCGATCTTTCCCGAGTTGCAGTCTGGAAAGTGAATGCGACATCAGAAGTCGAGGATGCATCTGTCTTGGGAGCAGCCCGTTGCCAAGCCACTAACGCGCCACTGTGGCTCAACACCAGCATTGACGCGTCCTCAGCGTATCTTCAACACGCCTCACTGATTCACCATCAGGCATGGCGAAATCATTACCGGCACATCTCACTTACAAGACTGCGCTGGTCTTGCTACCTCCATCTAGCATTGCTGCGCCAATCGATCGAATTCGAGGTACATACGACAAGCATTTCAAGCGATGGCCTGCGCACATCAATCTGTTATACCCATTTCTATCTGAGCCTTCTGAGCCTAGTGGGCATGGCAACGGCTCGCAGTCAAGTCTCAAGCCCGACATACGTGCACGTATTATAAGCGCCATCAAAGACATACGACCATTCCAGATATCACTCGAGGCGGATCCTCCAGGGGTTTTTCACCACGGGCCCAATAGCACAACTGTTTGGTTGGGTCCTACCACCCAGAGTGTCCAACAGCTTCACGCGGCCCTGCAGAAAGAATTCCCCGAAGTAAACGCAGATCGACGGCCTTTTACGCCTCACCTTTCTGTGGGGCAAGCGAAGAGCCAGGTTCGCGTGGATAAGCTCAAGATGTTGACCACAAAAACAGTGATGGATCACACATTGCTCACAAGTGGGCTACTGGAAAAACCAGGCTCTACCCCCCTCGAAGAAGCCATACCTATAGCTCTATATTGGGACGTTGAGTATGTATACGTCATTGAACGCCATGGCAGCAAAGATCGTTTCAAGGTAGTTGAGGCTATCAAATTGGCCGAATAACAGTATCACGTCGTTGTAGGGAATAATCGAGCACCTCCCACTAGGCAGACATTCAAGGGCATTCGATTTTGCCCTTCAATCAAGTGGCATAATACGCGGAACTAGTTCTTGGCAAAGAAGTCTTTGATCTCCGCATCAAGCCATTTTACGTCTTCCGTGGATTGACCTGGCCCGCCAGCCCTGTGTCGATGGTCAGCTTCAAGCACGCGTTCATTTTGGGGAAAGGGATATACCAGTGGCCCCATATAGAGGGGAATATCTTCAGTGTTCCAACGCCCGGCTTCATATTCTGGACTTCAATCTCAGAATCTTCTGGTGGGAAGTAAAGATCCGTCTTCGCTGGCAGGACCAGTGTCTTCGCCTTGATACCCTTCATCGCTTTCTCAAAGTCACCATCGTACGGCTCTTGTTGCGAGCAATCAGCAGCCTGCCATGTATGCGCCATGACTAGCATATTCTCTGGGTCTTTGGAAAGCGCCCAAGCTTCCCAGAAGTTGACAAGAAAGTCGTCCAGGTTCTTGAACCCGAGCGTAGGTGCGGTCTCGTAGAGTTTCTCACGATAGAATGCTTGAGAGAAGCCCCAGCCGGCGTACACGCGGCCAAGAGCCTTCAATCCAGCTTCTCGGGTCTCGGATGAGAAAGTCACGTTCTTTCCCTGAGCAGTTTGTAGATCTGGCTTTGCGACACCTGCGGAGCTTGTCCCTAGAGCGGCGTACAAGGCGCTCTTGACACCTTCCAGGAAAACCTGGTTATGCAGGCTCGTTTTTGCGCTCCCACAGAATGGTACTGCAAGATCCATGAAGTCGGGAAACTGCGTCGCCCATTGATACGTCTGTCCCGCGCCCATGGACCAACCAAGAACAGCACGAGCATGCTTCACGCCCAGATGTTTAGTAACAAGCTCATGCTGCGCTCGTATGTTGTCGTAAAATAGCACTTCTGGAAATGGGCGGAGATCTGGCATATTTGATGGTGACGACGATTGGCCGTTGCCGAACAATGCAGGCATGATGATGTAGTACTGAGAAGGGTTAAGTGTCTTATCCGAGCCTGTAAGCCAGATATTGTCGGATATCGCTACATGGTGGAATTAGCAGCGCTCCAACTAAGCTTCAATTGAACTGCACATACTGCCAGAATACCATGTTGGGTATATGACAGCCGGGAGCGATGGGTCTCCTAGCGTCTTGTAGGCGACAAACGCATCTGGTATCTCTCCACCAGACTTGAGCTTGAAGTTCCCAAGCTTATAGATCTGGTAATCATCACCAGAGGACATTGTGTTTGGAATATGTTCAGAGGATGGAATTGTAGACAGCTATGGACAGCAGAAGTCAAATGTCAGACAGGTTATCGTGCACGGTCGCGCAGCATATCTATAAGCTTCCTTCTCACCTCTTCCAGCTTCCGTGATAGGACTGCCACTTAGCACTGGTGTCGTTATCGTTAATGGCGGGGTAGCTGGAAGGTATGGTGGGGTACATGACGTTACCAATCACGCTCATTGCTGGAGAGCGCCGAGTGTAACCGTGGAGATGACAACAGCTAAACGCTCCATACGGGCCAAGAACATACGTCTGTTAACAGCTTCAGTTTACACACAAGTTTCTGAATCCCTGCAGTCATCGCAAGAAGTTTACCATGGGGGCCTGAAAAGTCTCGGTACGCTTCCGCGGCTATCCTCATGTCGTTATGCAGACTCGGAATTATATCCGCCAATTGCCGTAGAGCACCTTTCTTACGCGATTGATCATCCTTGACTAAACAGCAGCTACAATGTCGACGTATAAGAACATCATTCCCGTGATCACTAGTAGAGCCAAGCTCAGCCACCAAATCCGCAGAACCATCGCAACGTCCCACCACAAGTTTTTGCTACACCCCTCTTCCACAATGGCATCCGGACGAGCAGACGCCGAAAAGGAAATCAAACGCAATCCTCACGGCGACTTCAAAGCTGTCGAAGCCTCCCGCCCACCCTTTGACGCAACATCATCGTTCCACTACACGCAAACCCCAAAGCCCGACTGGAAAACCGGATCTGGTCCCAATGAGCCCTCCAGTTTGGAAAAGTCACACCGTTCTATCAACCCTTATGAGGAAGGCAGACCTGTAGTACACAACTACAAGCTACTCATTTCCGCGATTGTACCCCGCCCCATTGGTTTCGTCTCAACAATCAGTGCAGATGGGAAATCCACAAACCTTGCTCCGTTCAGCTACTTTAACCTTGTAAACCATGATCCACCAATGTTCGTCTTGGGATTTGCCGGCGGGATGGATAAAGCCAAGGATACACTAAAGAATCTCATTGAGACCAAGGAGGCTGTCATCAACATCATCACTGAGGAGTACATCGAAGCGGCCAATTATACGAGTATAAATGCGCCAGTCGGTGTGAGTGAGTGGGCATTCAGTGGGTTGCATGCGGAGAAGAGCAAGTATGTTAAGCCTGATCGCGTAAAAGAGGCCGTGTTCAGTATTGAAGGAAAGCTGGTTGATACGGTGGAATGGACAAGCAAGAATCCTGCTACGCCTGACAAAAAGACGGGTGTTACAGCGTTTGTGGAAGGCGTGAACTTTTGGGTCAGGGAGGATGCTATTGATGAGCAGGGCGTGCTTGTTGATCCTGCTGTGCTTAAGCCGGTCTCTAGGCTGGGTGGAATTACGTATGCGAGAGTAACCCAAGCGTTTGAGCTGCCGAGACCGGATTATGAGGAAGTCACCAAGGATCCCGAGGTTGCGAAGCTGGCGCAGCCAAAGGGCGAGAGTCAACTGTAGTAGGGCTAAGGTCTGCCTGGTATTCGTTGACTTTTTCTACGGTCTCTGAGCAAACGAGATACTGATGGAGTAGATGCAGGAGATAGACGGCGAACAATAGATGCGAATTTGTGAAGAACATGCCTTTCGTCTTGGGATCCAGGCGTCTAAAGAAAAGAATTCGAGGTATCATACTAAAACTCAACTACAAACATGGACATCATGCTTCCTCTTAACCAAACCACATCCCCAGTAAAGGGCAGCCAATAGAAGGTATAACGGCATACTCTGTAAATCCCATTCTTACCCATCACCTTTGCGCAATTCAGCCCGACGTTCACAGAGCCATGACACCCGCAAAGGCCGCAGCAACACCGGCACCCATCATGCCGACCATGTTACCCATAGCTGCACCAGTCTCACTCGGGCCCGAGCTCGCACTGGCACCCGTCGCACCACCCGATCCCGACCTGGTTGTAGACGCAGTAGTGCCGTTCTCGCCTAGAATAGCCTGGTTGACCAGCCTTTGAACTTCGGCGTTGTAGCTGTCGTAGTAGCTCTTGATGTCGCTCGGGAGCGCACTGTACCACGCTGGTGTCTCGGAGAAAGTCTCAAGCGCACCGACTTTGGTGACTTCGCTGGGAATGGAGTATGAAGCTGTAGCGACAAAGGATGCGAGGCCTTTGTGGGCAGATGCTGCAGCAGAGAGAGCGGAGCCTTGGGTGAGGGATGCGAGGCCCATGGAGACTTCGTTGAGGACTGAGGAAGCGTAGCCGTCGGCCTGAATAAATAGGTTAGCTTTAAAGATTCGAGAAAGAGGACGCGTAGATCGAGGAACGTACATTTGTGAGGACCTCGCCCAGATTGGTGGGGATAGGTGTGGTGATAATAGCGAACTCAGCGACGGCAGTGCCAGCGGCAGCGAGGATTGCGAGATTCTTGAACTGCATTTTTACGGTATTGCGAATTGATTTAACGCGTAGCGGGAGATTTCTAGAGAAATGACGTCTGAAGTCAAAGTGGACTGAAGGATACAGAAAAAGCGAATGATTGACACGAGGCAAGAGCGAGAAGGTACGAGTGAGCAAGCGCGTGGGAGAGCAGCTGGCCTCCACTTATGTATACTTCAATATTGTGCATCAACACAGAACACGAATGCTCCGCCACGAAACTCGGTTCCCGAGCATGGGTAATCATGTCAGCCCGTCATCTTACCGTTGCGCTGTCTTGGATCGTATTTCTTTTAAAAGTAGCGCGGCCGTTGAGAAGGGCTTACTAGTACAGTAATCTAGAAATCTGTTCAACGTCTCCATGATCAGCAGTTCCACGCAAACCATCAATCGGGACCCACATCCAAGATCAACGACACGCGTTCGATGCGCAAACTGCGAAGAGGCAATCTGAGGGGTTTCGGATGATATTCAGGGGCGGTGTCTTGGGGGCCATGGGGGTGTGCGGCGTTAGCTTCGTTTAGAGTGGATTGCATTAGCGGCTGTTTTGTCCAGAATAAGCTTCTTTGCTGACGGCCAGGCCTCCCACCATGTCCATAAATACTCGGCACGCAATTGTACAGCCTCAGGATCCGAATCGGGGATCCCTGAACCCGCCTACTCCACTTCTCTTACAGCAGTGGTGGTCATGATGCCTTCATCGCTGTTCTTCTTTCCCGCGGTCTCACGTTCCTCGCTGGAAGCAATACTCTCGACTTGCGCATGCTGAGAGGGGGCCGTCTTTCCCTCTTTCCAGCCTAGAAAAGCGAAGCCAATAATAACCACTAGCCAGTAAAGATTGTATGAAATGACGGACCCGTACGTTGCGCTGTTCTGCCAGCCAAAGAGCGAGTTGAAGATACCCCAACTGAGACGAAATCGTTAGCGATAAGACTCAACCAGACTGAGACATTTACTCACCCACCGTCACCATTCTCCAGTGGCGAACAACACTGTCGTAGCAGTCAGCACATAAACCCAGAAGACCAGTAATGACAAAAACTTACGTTGACGTGCCAAACACTCTTCCTGATGTCGTAGCTACCCGGCCCTGCACCTGCTTCTGCTGCACCTTCTCCAGCAAGCTTGACCCAAGCATTCTGTTCAAGATTCCATACACCTTTGGAGAACAGGCCGGCCGCTACGAGGTAAAGGAAGCATGTGGAGATGACGAGGAAGATCTGCAGAGAGGTTTTGTTGCCACCCTTGTAGATGAGAAATCCGACCAAGGCACCTGCACCAAGGCCACAA